TCCAGTACGGGATAAAAGCCATAAAAATGCTAGAGATTATAAACTTGCAAATACCTATGTTTCAGATTTTTCTAAATTTCTAGATAGGAATTCCCTATTTGATTGTTGGAGGACTTTGAATCCTAGTGAGAGAGATTATACTTTCTTTTCACATGTTCACCAGACCTACTCTCGAATAGATATGTTTTTGAGTTCTATTATTAAATCCAATATAGGATCCATAGTTGTATCAGATCATGCACCAGTATTCATTAAGGTTAAGTTAAAAGGTGGTCTTAGACCAAGGACAAGGTGGAGACTTAATGAAAGCCTCTTGAAATCAGAGTGCAACATTGATTTTTTGTCTTCTGAAATTGAAAACTTTTTGATCACCAATGATAATGGGGAAGTTTCTACGGCAACGGTATGGTGTACCTTTTAAAAGCTTTATAAGGGGATTATTGATTAAACTTGGCTCAGAATCTAAAAGGAAGAAGGGAGAATCTTTGCAGGAGTTAAGAATAAAATTGGCAAACAAGGAACGTCTAAATAAAAATATGGTGAATAAAGATTTAATCGAAGAAATAGCTAAATTAAGGGAAACTATCAAAGATAGAATTTATGATTTGGTCAATAAAAATATACTATTCCTTAAACAAAGATGGTACCATAATAATAATAAAATAAATAAAGATCTTTCTAATAAAATTAAAAATAATCTCAAAGATAAATTTATAAAAAAAATTGTTTTAGGTGATAAATATTTAGTGTCACCAAATGATATTGTAAATGCATTTGTGGAATTTTATAAATCTCTATATAATCTAAAGGAGGTAGGGAGGAGTAGAGAAGAAATGGATACATTTCTGAGTAACCTTAAATTACCAAAAATTAACCAAAGGAAGTTGGAATCGCTGAATGCCCCATTCTTACTATCAGAAGTAACCGAAGTAATAGATAAGTTAAAATTGAATAAGGCTCCAGGCCCAGATGGCTTCTCAACAATGTTTTATAAAACCTTTTCTAGACTCATTTCCCCTATCCTTTTAGAGATGTTTACGAAGGCGTCCGCGGATACCCCTTTCCCCAATGAGATGCTATTGGCTTCAATCATTCCTATACCCAAAGTAGGGAAAGATCTAACACTTATAACTAATTATAGACCTATATCTCTCATTAACTTAGATATAAAGATATTCTCTCAAATATTATCTAACAGATTTAAAGTGGTAATTGGAGAATTGATTGATGTTGATCAGTCTGGATTTGTGCGAGGGAGAGGTACTACAGATAATACGCGTAGGACATTTAACATAATACATAGAATAAATGAGCATAAATGGGGATCTGTTATTATGGCCCTCGATGCTGAGAAGGCCTTTGACAGAGTCAATTGGAGATTCCTGGACTCTGTCATGGGCCAATTTGGCTTAGAGGGTCAGTTTAGACATAAAACTATGTTGCTATATAGGAATTCTACAGCTAAAATAATCAACCCTTTTGTTGAGTCTGACCATTTTGAGGTCAAAAATGGTACTAGACAGGGTTGCCCTTTGGCTCCCCTGCTATATATTCTTACAATTGAACCTTTGGCCACCTTGATCAGACAGGATACTAATATAAAGGGGGTCAAATCTCACAATGGGGAAACCAAGATTTCCATTTTTGCAGACGATGTCCTCCTTACCTTGACGGACCCGATGGTTTCAATTCCATCGGTACTGGATGCTATATCCAACTATAGTAGCTTCTCCAACTATAAGATCAATATGAAAAAAACTCAAATTTTAGCCTCTTTTTTATCTGAGGCCCAGAAAGATCTTTTGGCTGCACATGTCCAATTTTCATGGGCAAAAGATACTATTGGTTATTTGGGGATTAAAATATCTTTTGATATAGAGAGGACGATACAAACAAATTATGACACTTTATTAAGAGACTTGCAACAACTGGTAGACAATTGGAGGAAGATTGAGTCCTCATGAATAGGAAGACTAAATATGATTAAGGCTTTTTTGATACCTAAACTTATATACTATTTTAGGGCGATTCCTTATAGACTGGGGAAAGGTACTCTTAACCGTTTTCAAACTCTGATTTCCAAATGCATTTGGGCAAATAAACCACCTAGGATAGCTTTTGACACTCTTCGAAGGAGCTATCAGAAGGGTGGTATAGCATTTCCAGATGTTGATAAAATTCATGAAGCATGTATGGCGACTCATCTGTTACAGTGGTTAGATAGGGAACAGGGATCCATATCATGGTTTACCCTAGAACAGGAGGATAGCCCTAGAAGTAAATTGTTTGTTCTTTTTTGGATGGGTTTGTTAAATTTGGGTGAATTGGATACCAAGAATTTTTCGAACCGAATATTGATAGATATGGTCAATACTTCTAGAATTCTAAATAAAAAATTGAAGTTGGAAGATAAGTTATTATATAGAGTTCCATTAGTGGTCCTACAACATATAATGGATAATATAAATGTTCAATCTTGGATACATCTAGGTCTAACGAAGATCTCGGATTTATGGGATGGATCTAAACCTATCCCATTTACACAATTGCAAGAAAAGTTTAATCTTCCCCCCAGAGATCTTTTCCAATATCTAAGGATTAAGAATTTTATACTTTCTCGGACCATACTTAAGGACCATATTGTTAATCCCCTTATTATATTATATAAAAAGAAGGGTGGGATCTCTAGATTTATTAAGGTGCTAGAATCAATGGAACAAGATTCTCATGCTACCTCCTTCGTTAAATGGGAACAAGATATTGGGGAATCCTTTTCACTTCTGGAATGGACCAAAACTACACTCCTAGTTAAACGTTGTATACATAGTGTCTCTCTTTATGAAAGACATTTAAAGATAATATATAGGTGGTATATGGTACCGACTAGACTATACAAAATATCATCTGTCCATTCTAAGAATTGTTAGAGATGTGGAATTGAGGAGGGAACTATTTACCATATATGGTGGGAGTGTCATGGTCTTGATAATATAAAAATTCAAATGTTTGGCCTTATTAATTCTATTTTTAAGGAGATAAAATAAATTAGTCCTCAACTTTTTCTCTTTAACATTGGTTTTCCTTCGCAGGACAAATATCAAAAATATCTCTTGACTCATATATTTTTTGCTATTAAAATATGTATAGCTAGGGCTTGGAAATCTTCTATCCCATTAATATGGCACAATATTATGGAGCAAATAGAGTATCAATATAGGATGGAATCAATTCCCTTTTTTGGTACTAGAGATGTGGCCAAATTATGGTTACCCTGGACAAACAGACAGAATTCATGATTATACATTGTGGTCCCCCCCTTATCAAGTCTCAGAGGAGTAATTATTTGTATTTTAATTATCTATATTTTTATATTTATTTAAAAAAATTTTTTTTTTTTATCAATGTGATATCTATACCATGGGAAATGTTGGTGTTAACCCGTTTTTGATAGCGATTGGCAATGGACAAGTGTAGTGTGATTGAAATACACATTGGGTGTATGATGGCTTTCAACGGATACACTGTACTATATGTGTAATCATTCGGTGTTTAATATTACACAGTGCCTATATTACAATATACTGCCAACTTATCTATGCTCTTAGCAGTTACATTGATTTTTTTTTTTATTGTCTTTTTCTGTTTGTGTGTCTAACCTTTTTGCTGTTTTCTTTAACATTTATCCTTTGTATTTGGTTGTTGTGCTGGAGGATTGCCTTTGGGGTACCTCATATGCAAATGTTAAAATTTCATATAATAAAATAAAGAAATATAAGAAAAGAAAATATAGTGAGGATTTTTTACAGTATGGTTTTATCTCAATAATTACAGCAGGAATTGAGAAACCGCAATGTGTTATTTGTTGTGAAGTTCTATCAGCCGACTCTATGAAGCCGAACAAACTAAAACGCCATTTTGATAGCAAGCGTCCAAGCTTTGCTGGCAAGGATGCCAACTATTTTAGAAGCAAAGCTGATGGACTCAAGAAAGCCAGACTTGATACTGGTGGAAAGTACCACAAACAAAACGTAGCAACTGTTGAAACTTCATATTAGGTGGCACTCAGAATCGCCAGAGCTATGAAACCTCACACCATTGCTGAGGATTTACATCGTTCGAGTTATGATTGGAGACAAATTTGTTCCGAAATTGGGTGCAATTTCCTTATCTAACGACACTGTCCGCAGAAGAATAGATGACATGTTGGCTGATATTCTTGATCAGGTAATCCAGGAAATTAAATCTGCTCCACTTCCAATATTTAGTATCCAGCTTGATGAATCTACAGACGTTGCAAACTGTTCACAGTTACTGGTTTACGTGAGGTATATTAATGATGGCGACTTTAAAAATGTTTCTTTTTTGCAAACCTCTTGAAACGACAACTACTGCACGTGATGTATTTGATAAAGTTAGTTCGTTTCGGAAAGAGCATAAAATCTCTTGGGAAAAGGTTTGTGGTGTTTGCACAGATGGTGCTCCAGCTATGCTAGGATGTCGATCTGGATTCCAACGTTTGGTACTGAATAAGTCCCCAAAAGTCATCGGAACTCACTGTATGATTCATCGGCAAATATTAGCAACAAAGACACTGCCACAAGAGTTACAAGAACTAATGAAAAGCATCATAAGTTCTGTCAATTTTGTAAAGGCGAGCACTTTAAACAGTCGACTGTTTTCGCAACTGTGCAACGAGTTGGATGCGCCGAACAATACTCTGCTATTTCACACTGAAGTGAGATGGTTGTCGAGAGGAAAAGTTTTAAAACGTGTTTTTGAGCTTCGTGATGAACTCAAAACGTTTTTTAATCAGAAAGCAAAACTGCAGTTCGAAGCACTTTTCAGCGATAAAAGTGAACTGCAGAAAATGAGTTAAATTTATCACTGCAAGGACCAAGTGCAACATGCCTCGATTTGTCTGAAAAGATCCGATCATTCCAAATGAAACTTCAGCTTTGGCACAAAAAATTGGATGAAAATAAAATTTACATGTTGCCTACCTGATCTGCTTTCTTTGAGGAACATGACATTGAACCAGACAAAAGGATTACGATGATAATGTCTGTGAAAGAACACTTGCACATGCTTGCAGACGAAATTTCATCGTACTTTCCAAATCTACCTGACACCCCATTTGCACTGGCCAGAAGCCCATTCACAGTCAAAGTTGAAGATGTTCCTGATAAAGCACAAGAGGAGTTCATTGAGCTTATTAACAGCGATGCAGCAAGAACAGAGTTCTCTACAATGCCAGTTACAAAATTCTGGATCAAGTGTTTGCAGTCATATCCTGTTCTGTCTGAGACTGTGTTGCGCCTTCTTCTTCCATTTCCAACAACATATCTTTGTGAAACAGGGTTTTCCAGCTTGTTAGTTATCAAGTCTAAATACAGAAGTAGACTTTTTGTGGAAGATGATCTTCGTTGTGCTCTTGCAAAGACTGCCCCGAGAATTTCTGATCTGGTGAAAAAGAAGCAATCTCAACCTTCGCACTGACGTTGGCTTTTTACGCATACTGTCGCAAAATGTAGCTTACTGTTGTTATATCATGACTGTTTTATTAGTAACTAGAAATATTTCACAATATATAAATACATATTGTTTTTGTGATTAATCACTATACTTTATGTTCAAAACAATGAAAATACATCCTGCATATCAGATATTTACATTACGATTCATAACAGTAGCAAAATTACAGTTATGAAGTAGCAACAAAAATAATGGTTGGGGGTCACCACAACATGAGGAACTGCATTAAAGGGTCGCGGCATTAGGAAGGTTGAGAACCGCTGCTCTAAAGTGTAAAATTGTAGGAGAATTATTAGGATATAGTTTTAAATTAGCAAGCATTATAATAGTGTATACATAAAGAGACCTCACCATCTAAAGCATCTCAAAACACCTTTACTGCTACAGTACAACTTCTAATATATATTTGGACTATTTTTATAATTCTTAGTAGTTTTTATTTATATGCCCTTTTACTATTTGTCTTTTTACTACTTTTAGTACTTATTTATTCATTTCGGTGCAGCCTTTCATTACTGTTGTTGTTGTTGTTGTTGTTGTTTCCTACCATAGAGGGTTACCCTCTGCTAGGCCGCTGCCTATCCATCTTGTTATTATTAGCGCTAACCTACTTCCTTGTTTTTTTCTTTATTTTACTAATATCCCTCTGGTTTAAGCTGCTTTTAATATGTCGTGGTTGTTTCTATAATAAAAAAAAATAAAAAAAAATCATTCTATTGATATAGAAAATGTATTCTCTACTCAACCTACTAGCCCCATCTATGTTAGGCCTCCCACCTTTACCCAACAATAATTATTTTTCAAATTAGAAAAAGCCTTAACAACTGAAATCAAACTTAAATGGGAGATCGCCACTTTTAAAAAAAAATATATTGATGAGCGCATAACACCTCAAGGCCTAAGACTCATGAAACTATCCACTTCAGATCAGGATGATCTAGAATTTGAGTGATTGGAACAATAAACTAGAAACATGTACGTTTGGCCTTATGGACACTCTAATCAAGAAAAAAAAGCAAAAAATTATCCAATTTAGATAGAAATGAATGATCTCAGCGACAAACTTATACCCTTTACAGAAAGCAATGCATACCAACAGAACTCAGTCCTAATTCAGAGTAAAATTGAAAAAATAGAAACAGACACTAAACCTATCAAAGTAAAAAAATACATAAGAGACAAACAAGACTATGCTAACCGACAGGTTAGGACATACCATCTAAATAAAAGATATACTTCAGATATTACATCTAAAAACACAAGAACAGAACCATACCAATACCAAAGAGAAAACACACTCACTGCACGAAATGAATCCTCATGTCACCAAGAACCACTTCCCAACTATACACAAACCCTCTCACCACTCCCCCACCAAGTCTAGGCCCCATTACAGAAACTACAACCCCAACTACGCTCCCTCATCTTCTTATCACCGACTCCCTATGCATCAACCACCATCATACAAACCACGTAGGACTTCCTACAGAACATCTAAACACTGATTTCCAACCCAATTATTACAATGCACGTAGCCCTGATACCAACAAACATACCAACAAACATTAACCTAAACCTCATAGGCCTAGCAATTACTACAAAAATCACTCCGAGACACCTATCTCGCACACCAATAGGTATCAATTGCTATCCATTGATTCTGAAATAGAAAATGAGGAACTTATTTTTAGAGATTCCGACACATCCAAACACATTCATCAATACGCCTTACCCAACAAGGGCAAAGAAAAGAACCTTAAGCCCGGAGGCAAACGGAGTGGCAGAAGACAGCAAAAAAGAGATTAGAAAGACAATAACTACCCCAAATGAGTCTGAAGTTGGTATTTTTAACCTGTCACAAAGTTTAAAGTGCAGCACAAATATCAGTTTTAAGTAAAGGATTAATGTTTTCTTTTTCCACACCGGAAAACAATAAATAAAGAATGTTTAAAAAAAAAAAAAAAATATGCCCCAACAAACTCTTTTAGACCACTTGAAGCATTTTTAGAAGTTAACAAATTTGTACAGAAAGACACATTAAAAAGATTTTTTTTAATGGAAAAAATCCAGTGACCAATATCCCCCCCCACCCCTCATTCCCCAACCTCTATAGATCAACCTACATATATCAACACCAATCTCAAACCCTAATCCACATTTTATCCTTACCATTTTAAATCCGCTCCACTCGTCATGTTTGAGAAGTCAGTATTAAGGGATTTTAACAAAATTAGGTATAATAAATACGATACCCAAAATCTAAACATATCAGAAAAACTAGCTGTAAAATAACTTCAAGAAGACAGACATTGTTATCAAACCAGCAGACAAAGGGGGAGATCTAGTCGTCCAATCAAGCACTGAAGAAGCCTATAAACAACTAAATGACATTGCAATATACGAAAAATACAACAAAAACTAATCACCTTTTTAAAAAAAGGGACTAGATGAAAATATTTTAAATAAAAATGAACATGATTATCTACTCATCAAAAATCCCAATTTCGGTAATTTATTTTCTCCCGAAAATACACAAAGACACAAATCACCCCCCCCCCACCGGTAGACCTATAGTGTCAGGGATTAATTCCCTTTTATGCAATTTATCCCAATACATTGACACCTTACTCCAACCATCAGTAAAGCTTATGAAGTCCTATCTGAAGGACTCCATTACACTAAGGTTTTTAAATGGATTTTATTGGGAACCAGATTTTATACTTGTTACATGTGACGTCACCTCTCTCTATATACCATCGTTCCCCACCAGCTTGGTTGTCAGGCTGTCAAAACTATCCTATCAAAAGAAAAAAGAATTCCAGATACTCAGATTGATTTTATTGTGGAGGGTATTAATATCATTTTAAATAATAATTATTTCTGGTTCTTTGATTCCTTCTACCTCCAAAAGAGAGGGTCAGCTATGGGGACCAGGTTTGCCCCCAGCTATGCCAACCTCTTCACGGCGGACTGGGAATCCAGTGCCATCTGGGGAGGACATTTTAGATATATTGACAATTTGTTTTTTATATGGAAGGGTTCTGAAGATTCCCTCAACTCTTTTATAACATACCTTAACACCAATAACAGAGGCATCATTTTATCTTGTGAATATAGTAAAGACACAATCAACTTTTTAGATTTAAATATTTTTATTAAAGATGGGATAGTCCACACAAACTTTTTTCAAAAAAGTATGCACTAATACAGCAATAGACCAGACTAGCTGGCACTATAAGCCCTGGCTTGAGTGCTCCCCTAAGAGCCAATTCTTACGCATAAGTAGAAACTGCTCTCACATTGATGATTTTAATGAACAATCACTGATTTAAAAAAAAAAAAGTTCACAGAAAAAAATTATTCACTAACACAATTGAATAATACTATAGACACAGTGAGAAATAAAAAACCAAGAGAGAGTCTTTTATCCTATAAGGACAAACACAGCTCAGATGCTCCTACCCTTCCTATAATTTTTAACTATAACAACAAAAGTGGTTTTATTAAAAAACCAATAAATAAACACTGGCACCTTTTAAGACAAGATGACTTTCTTAAAGAAATTTTACAAACAAAACCTAAAATAGTTTTTAGAGGTGCACCTAATTTTAGATCCATTTTAACCAAAAACTATTCTAGAGAAATCAAACAAAGCACCAGCCATACTTTTTTTAGAAGGAGCAAAAGGTTTTTACAAATGCAAGCGTTGCATTGTTTGTAGAAGTACTGACCCCTCTATGCAATCAAAAGTCACCAGTTTTAAATCAAACAGAACTAACAAAAGTTACACCATAACAGATTTTATTGGATGTAATACAACGAATGTTATCTACCTATTGGAGTGCCAATGTGGCCTCCAATACGTAGGTATGACCACTAGGTGCCTAAAGACAAGATTAGCTGAACATTGCTGAAATATTAAAAACGGGTACCTAAACCATTCTGTATCTAAGCACTTTATTAAACATAACCAAGATCCAAAACTTCTAAAATGTATCGGAATCAAAAAATGTAAGGTCCCTTGGAGAGGTGGAAACATAAAATTTTTTTTAGGAAGATCTGAAATGGAGTGGGTCTTCAACCTACAGACCCTAGCTCCCCAGGGTCTAAATGCCAATTTCGATCTGTATAATTTTTTTTATAAACTATTTTTTATAAATTGTCTCCAATGTTTTTATAAGTTCATAAGTCTAACAGGACAATTATTTTAAATTCATATGTCTAATCAAGTCTTCTTAATTCCCTCCTAACAGTTATACATTTTTAATGTCTTATTTATTATATGCCTCTGTATCAATTGTATGCATTGTTCTTGCTGTCATCTTGGGGCCATCCTATTCATAGTTGTTACCTACGGCATTATAGTCTAGGATACCCCCAATTTGACCTCATTTTTATGTATACACTATTATAATGCTTGCTAATTTAAAACTATATCCTAATAATTCTCCTACAATTATACACTTTAGAGGTTTGGATTAATTATATACTTTAATATCTCAATAAGCTGTCACTTTCTTTTTAAATATTATCCCATACATTTCTCTATTTTTTTATATTTTTATATATTCATATATTTATACTCTGATTTTATCTATATTCTCATGTATTTTTATATAACATACATGACCATAGTTAATATGGCCT